AAGGGGGGGTGTCAAATCCCACCCAGGTACGGGGGGTACATGGCTGGGGACAAGGGGGGGTGTCAAACCCCACCCAGGTACGGGGGGTACATGGCTGGGGACAAGGGGGGGCACAAGATCACAAATGAGTAAGGCTGCCTGCCCAGCACTTGGAGGGAGGGATGGGCAGAGAGAGCGTGACCTGGACCTACCCTAGGGTTCCCTGGTGTTGAATAGAGCCAAGAGCCCGCCAGCGCCTCCCACTGCACCTAGCTGGGTACCCTGGAGCAAGGCCTATTTTAAGGGTGTCTGAAAGCCACCCTTAGCTCATTCTCTAAAGCAGAGTCTGGGCTCTCACCTCCTGCCTCTCTCCCCATCTCATCCTTCCATCCAAGTGAATGAAGAGTTCACACGGCCGCAGTCCTGCCAAGGGGAGCCGGCCGGTGAGAGGAGCTGGGCTTGGAGCTGAAAACAAGTGCTGCAAGTCCTTTGCCTTGCTTCTTCCCCCGCAGCCCTGGCCCAGACACACTTTGGTGAGATAAGAACATGAGAACGGCCACACTGGGTGAGACCAAAGGTCCATCCAGCACAGTGTCCCGTCTGCCGACAGTGGCCAATGCCAGGTGCCCCAGAGGGAGTGAATCCAACAGGCAATGATCAAGCAATCTCTCTCCTGCCAGCCATCTCCACCCTCTGACAAACAGAGCTAGGGCCACCATTCCTTACCCATCCTGGCTAATCGATGCTTTGGCCCTCCCCAGCCCCTGGCATGGGAGGCTCTCACAGCTGGTTACACACATTCATTTACCTAAGGGGGCTAAGGAACAGGTATTTTCCTACTCGTGTCGTCGATACAATTTGTATCGACGACACAATTAGTCGATAAGGGGAGGCTCGCCCCGGGACCACTGCGCCTTGCACTTTAAATGGAGTAAGAGCCCAGCAGCCCCAGCCCGGCTACAGAAGCAGCAAAGGGAAGGGAAAGCGAGTCGTCGACTGCTCACATCCCTACATTTAACTAAACTTAACACCCTGGTGAGACCACGTGCTAAGTCTTGTTTGCCAGACCGGGGGAAACTGAGGCACAGGGGAGTAAAAGCAACTTGTCACGTCACTGGCACAACCAGAAGAGCCCTAGATCGTAACTTCCAAGCCCAGGCTCTGACCACTAGACCACTTTCCTTCCTAAAACAAGAAAGCTGACACCTATCCCCAGGCTCTGGCTACTGTCCCCATGCGTCAGCTTCATAGCCCAGCGGTTTTCAAACTTTTTTTCTTGTTGATGCCCAGGACCCAACATCATGTGATTGGAGCGTGGGCTCTGGGGTGGGGCTGAAGAGGAGCTTTGGGATGTCGGAGGGGGCGCCAGCTTTGGGGATGGGGCAGGGCTGGGGCAGGAGGGGCTTACCTTGCGTGGCTCCTGGTCAGCAGTGCAGCTGGTCAGTGGGTGTTCCTGGTCAGTGGGTGCTATGGCAGCTTCCTGCCTCTCCTGGCACTGCAGACCAGGCTGCCCCCAGAAGCAGCCAGCAGCAGGCTCCCAGCCAATGGGAGTGCAGGGCCAGTGCTAAAGGCAGGGGCAATGCACAGAGCCCTGGGTGCTCTCCATCTCCCCTCCCTCCCAGGTGCCAGGCCCAACCCCGGTAGGCCTGTTGCTGGCCACTTCTGGGGCGCTGCGCTGTCTGCTGCGCCAGGACAAGCAGGGAGCTGCCTTAGCACCCGCCCCTCCCCACGGCTCATCTGATCCCCCTGCAGCAACGAGACCCAGAGTCTGACATTCCACGATCCAATACCGGGTCATGGCCCATAGTTTGAAACCCCCTGTCATAGCATTGGGGGCCTGAGAGGTGACCTGGATTGGAAGCTAGGTACCTGAGAGAGGATTTAATTGTTCGCCACTCATAGCGCTAGTTCCCCTGCTCAGAAAGGTCAAAGCCTGACTGCTGAGGTACAGCCTGGATAGCACACCCTGATTTGTACCACGGAGCCCCCAGGGACTCCGCTTATGACCAGGGCTGTGTTGGGCTGGAGGC